CTCTGCATTAACCAAGAGAATCCCATACTGTAAAAGGTTAAATACCCTGACCTAGATAATTACTGAAAGAATTTGCATGCAGTCAAGGTAAATAAAAACAATAACTTATTCAACTAGTGATGCCTCAAGAATTGATTTTCACCTTGACCGGCCTGTGTGGTGATTTGGTGATCGAAAACATAAAAGTCTGATACTTTGGTACTATCAAGCTTCCCCAATCACAACAATCGTCAAAGTAGAGGTGTGTACTAAAGGAAGAAAACTGAAGATATTTTTAGCACCAGTATAGTGTTTAAGTTGAAGTCAGAGGCATCATAGAAAGGTTTTTCAAAACTTTATACTTTTGTATTTATATTTGTTTCTTTAATTAAAATTTTCTGGTATATCTTCTAGAGTTTCCCCCCCAGATTATAAATTCGGGAATTTAGACCTAAGGTGAACTGACCAAAGGTGAGCCCAGCAGTTAACAGGAAGGATGAATGTATTTAAACAAATATTTACTTTAGGAATTTCACAACAAGATGGCTATGTATATATATATAAAAAAAGAAAGAAAGAATTGCTAATAACACATGGATGCTACTAAAATAACAACTTTAATATTTTTTGTCTTTTCTTTGAAATAGTTAAAATCTGTTTAGCAGTGGCTGTTTTCACAGTATGACATCGCTACCAGTATTACATCTTTACTTGCAGCAGGAAGGCGTGAAAAGAACACGTTAAAAAAAGAAGAGAGCTCAGGTAAATATTTTACAACAAAAAAAACCCCCCCCACAAAAAACAAGACTGGATTTCTCATTGGTGCATTGTTAGCATCACCCATGGCTAAGCTGAACCTAAGATGGCAAAGATGCTTGTGTTCATGCCCTTTTAACTATCTGGGGATACAGCTCAGGCATGACAAGCATGATTAATGTTTTCCTTTTGCCAGAGGAGCCCAATAAATGACAACAGTAGAGGGCCACCTACATAGAGGAATTTCACACTGATTTAACATCTACATATCTCTCACAAATCTGCTAGTGGGACATAATGTGTGGAAAAAGCCCTTTGATGGAAGCTAAAAGCAATAAGTTCAAACTGAGAGGTTCCTTATTCAAAGAATCAGAAGATGGGCATCATTTTTTAACCTTTCCCTGAGAACTGTCAGAAAAATAATTATAATAGTTTAGTCTTTGTTCAGACATGACAACTATTAACTCGTTACATGCCAGAGAAAGACTCTTGAAAGGAGAGGGGGCTACAAAGGCTAAATGAACCTAAAGACCATCCGTGATAATGAGTTAAATTATAGGACAGCCTGGTCTTATCTTTCTTTACCAGTCTTTCTCCCCACAGCTAACCTTGTACCCAGGTGTTTTGTTGTGGATTACAAAGAGGTCAAAGAAAAACAGAGTTAAACACTTTCAAATGTGCCTGAGGATTGCCCTAACAAGCTATTACTCATTAATATGGTGCCATTCTCCCACAGTTTGAGGGCAGTTAACCCCGGGAGTGACTGGCTTCTGTTTGAAGGGTCGAAACCTTGCTGAGTCCTGCAGACTAAAATAGCAGGTGATTACAGACCTTGTTTAAAAGTAACTATAGGAGTTCTTAGCAGCTGAAACAAGCCAGTCTATGTTTTTCTTTATGAGATAGAAAACATCTGTTTTACTGCATTGACCTTAGCCTGTTTGTCCTGCATTTGAAGTTAAATATAGTACAGAAATATAGTGATAAAAAAAACTTAGCTACTTGTTTAAAGGAACCCTGATCAAGATGGTACACGACTTTATGTTGAGTGTTATGGAGACAATATATTCAAAATGCTTGGTAGAATTTTTATTTTCTCTGAAATGTAAGTGTGCCACTGCGTTAACTTTTTGAGTATCTTTTTAAATCCAGAATGTTGATCTGCTTTAAGCAGGCAATCCTTTGTACTTACTGTCTTCAGGCTCTTTGGATTCTTAATACAGTTAATAGCTTAGATTGCACTAACCTCTTAAATAGCTGCTGCTGGCAAAAACTATCTTCTTAGATTTAAATTGTTAGTAAATGACAGAGTAAATTTTCTCTTACTTGCTTGCATACTTCCAAAAATCCTCACTAAATTCTAGTGCTTCAAAGACATTTCAAAATGATTGATACAACATACAAAGCGTTATATAAGTAGCCATACTCCCTGAAATTTTCAGATACCGTCCACCTTATAGCTGCAAACCTATGTATTCAAAAAATCATGATATGCATTTGCATTTAAGTCAATTCTTTCCCAAACCACTGTTGTTGTTCAATACAATACAGCTCATGCAGGGGATTTACTCCCTAAAAGCTTTGAACATCTGTAGATCTCAATTTTTGCTGGTTCTTCTTCAGGGAATATTTTTTCCATCAGATTGGACAGGAAGCATCTATGAGCCTTTATTTTTTAAATCCATTTAGCGATTCCCAGCTGGAATCTGTCATATTTTGAGGCAGTGAAGGACTAAAGCACTAGCAGCACAATGTTAGGTGCATGATGGTGAAAGGAATGTTGATGAAGGCGACGGGAACTCAGGAATACAGAAGAAAAACAGGGTACAACGACCACCAGAAAGGGGACAACTGAAAGGTGCCACATGTTAACTGAACCCAGGTGAGGGATATTTACCTAAAAACAAAAACAGGTGTGAGCTTGAGAGCTTTAGGTTAGGACTTTCTTTTGCATATGCACCTGGTTTCCTTCTGTGATTAACCCACATTTAAATCCCTCAACATTTTCATCAACCCTTGGCAGCTTGATACTGAAGACAGTCATCCCTAAAGTACAATGCACCATTAGAGCTGACATTTGTATGTCTGCAACCATTATCAGATTCAAGTGCCAGAGACAAAAAGGTAAATGGAGAAGTTGAGTGGTTAACTGCACCCCTGGGAATAAGATATGATGAAAATAGCTTCAAAAACAGAATATATACAGAAAAAAGCTTCGGTTTAGAAATAATCAGTTGCCTTAATTTAATCAAGAAGGTCACATTTTCTTTTCAATGTGGTAGACTAATTTGTGTCATTATAAAGATGTTAAATGTAAAAACTGAACCGCCAACGTCAACTCCAACAAATATGGTGTAAAAGTGCTGTTATATCACAGGAAGTGTTTATGTAATTTGTGGGTTTTTATATATTTTTTTTTATTATGCATATTAATGCAGAACTCAGATGCAGCTGAATGTGAGTGTGAATTAAGGAGTGGGTTTTATCATCCTTTTACTAAAATGCTCTATTTGTATCATGCTTTACGTTTCTAAAAAACTTGTTTAGCTCACTAGTTCATTGTGAATAACTCTGATAGAGAGTTAATATCAATTTGGTTTATTTCTAATTAATTTATTTACAATTTACAACACGTCATCTCAAGGTACTTTATAATTCACCAGATCATACAGTCAAATTGATTCAAAGTTTTCTATCTAAGGAAAATCAGTTGATTGGATCAACTCATTGACCCTCACACTAAGCATCATAGAACCACAATATGAAAAAAAAAACTTGAATGGCAGCTCCATGTAGAAAACAACCTTTTCTCAACTATTTAAATGAAATGTAATTAATGAGAGGAAAAGGGAATTTTAATGATAAACAAGAGGCTGGGTCATATTTTGCACATTCATCAAACTCTCTGCTATTAATTCCATCAACTGTCACATTTCCTTCCTTCAGGTTATCATTGAAATTAAAACTGTTATTGTTTACATTATTATAAGGCCCTTATCACAAGAGATGGCAGTAGTGTTGCTGTTATGAAGCCAAAAGCCAAGTGCTTTGTTAAGTACACCAGCACATAAAAAATTAATAAGGCATTCCTAGAGGAGCAGTGCAAAAATCAATACAATTAAGGGAACGCACAGATTAAGGGTATTATTTGTCTGAAACCACTATAGGTTGCTCCATCATGCATAAAAAGTAACCTCCAAGGCTAATTAAAAACAAACAAACTAAATTAAGATAACAGAAAAGAAATTGACAATTTCCAGCAAAGTAAATGGGAGACTATTAGCATGTAAAAAAAAAAAAAAACATCAACCAAGAGAGAAGATTGGACTCAAAGCTAGAGTGAAAACAGGAATTTAAGAGCATTAACAGAGTACAGCCCACCATCAAGGCTAATGCCCTATATTGTGATTTTAAAAGAATCTGCCACAAAAGTTAATGGATTGTCCCTTTGGCCATGTTCAACCTCCTGACCTACTTCTATGAACTATAAGTGCAGTCCTCAATTGATATAATCAAAATAGAGAAACCACTTTTAATTTAATACTATTGCACTGGCATAAGTAATTGAAACAAACTGCATAAGACATTATAGGATAATTGTTGTTATTAATATACATCATCTCTTATTCAAGGCTTTAATGGTGCAGTTTACGCAATGTTGCTGAGTTTTCACACATGAACTAATGTCTAACAGTACTCAGGAGTGGTGATCTCATAAAAGGAGACAGATTTCAACTCAGAGCAATATTAAAGTCATCAGCATAGACAGGTACAATAAAACCTTGAGGATAGTCTTGGACACTGTGTCGACAGAGCTGCAGAAAATGGCTCTGCTGGGACCTATTTTAACATGACAGTTCAACACACAGGCTCTCACGCTGGCACTGGCTGACATTCATAACATGCTGGATGTGCACCCAGAGTACGTGCACAGCCAAGTGTTAAATTTGACTTGATTTCAGAAGGGAGCCGAGGTCACACAAAGGCTTGTTTGAGGGGGGGACTAATAACAGCCGTGCGATTTGATGAAGACAAATTCTGCAGCCCTGAATAGTCCGGACAATCAGCGGCACATCTCATTATTCTCACCAGCCTCTCTCACACAATCAAACCTCAGTTAAACTCAGGCTGAACAAGAGCCAGGGTTACAAGTCCTACATTCTGCTTTCCCAACAGCTAACCCATTCCAGACAGAGAAAAAAAAGGAAGATGTGTTGCACCAGGTTTGTAGATGAACAAAATGGTCACATTGTTTTTTATTACCTTACCTTTAAAGGACAGGAAGATTCTGGGAGCAGACAGAGGCTCGTTTGATGGTGGCAGTCCTCCTGATGATACGGCCACGAGGGCTAGCAGCCAGGACAGTTTGTCCCACAACATTATCCCTCTGTTAACAGAGAAGTTCTGTAGCTGTGAGACAGACAATGGTAAAAGTATACAATTCGTAGACCTGCATTGCAAGAAATGATCTACAAATAGGTGAATATTTCTTAAATTAAGTATATTTACCATTCGTTTAAGTAGGTAAATAAGATGATCTGCCAATAGAATGAATATATTTACTCTTCAAATAAGACCATTAGATAATACGCACTTGAAATAAGACAATGCAATTGTTTTTTCTTAATTCAAATGTAAATTGTCTTATTCCATTAGCAATGTGTCTCAGTTACCTCCTCAATTCAAGAAAAAATTTACATATATTTCAAGAAAAACAACTCATTTAGGTACATTTTTGCAGTGTTGAAATGTTTTTCATAATTTTTATATGTTCAATTCCTTGTTTCTAGTATGTTTTGTTTAAAAGTAGGCAGTGTTTTTTTTTTTCTCTTTTTTCTAATGTTTGGGGCTTGGTGAGGAAAGTGAAAATCTCTGTTATGCATGGCCTGGCAAAAAAGGCTGGACTTCATTCCTCCAAAGATCTTTCCCTGCTTGTAATGAACTTTTTGTGTGAATGAATAGAGGCCTCAAGGTAAAACTCTAAAATGCTATTATACCCTTTTAGATATGGCTAGTGATCTAATGAGGAAATCAATATGGATAATTGGATTCATTTTGTACCACCAAAGACTTAAATAATGTTTAACACTTTTTTTTCGTTTTGCAAATAACGTTAACGTTTTTAATTTTTTACGTCTGGTCTCTTTTCAGCAAATTTCAGCAAATGAAGTTTTTTAATCATAAACTCACAATTGCTACAGTTGATATGCACTCACAACACCTCAAAGCCTTATTCTGTAAGATGTAATTTTTCACACATCTGAAACAATAAATCTCGATTATTACACATGCAAAACATTTTATTGCATATATTATATAGTATTTCTCCGATGGTGAGCTGGAAGGGTTGCAGCCCCTAAACCTGGCGCGCACTGGCTGCGCTCACAGATTAAATCACAAAGCGCATCAGCATGCTGTCATCCGCTACAAAGAGAGCAGGAGATAATATCCTCAGAAAATATCCAAGAAACCAGAGAGTGGATGGATTGGCAAGGAAGAAGGACAGAAAAAGAAACATGTGAATAAGAATGATGAATACTGATCTGGGTTTGGAAACAATAAATCAGTATTAGCGAGGGGGGGATTTCGATGTAATCATCCATGTATACCACTGATCTACTTGTAAACGTGGATCATAGTTAGAGATCAAATTGTCAGTCGGGGTTTAAGATCAAGTTCCAAACTGAGCCCCAGAAGGCAGAGCTCCGTTAACCAAAATAAAGCCCGACTGCATGGTCTCTGAGTTAGGAGGACGCGATCCACATGTCATTTGGAAACGAAATGTGACATTTTAATAATTTATGAAAAGCTGCCTCAAGGCTGAATATGCACTTTGTTATAAATCTCAGTAAAGACTTGCAGTTGGAACTTAAAAGGTCCCACAAAAAACGCACAGAGACGGACAATAACGTGCAGCGTTTGCGCCTTTTAATAGTGTTTCACTAAAAAGTGAACTCCTACGCGTTTTGGGTGGCGCATCCAAAACACAATGCTTAAGTAATTAGATAAAGGAGTAAATGATCTCGCAGATCTTCTCTGCACTCAGAAAGCAACTATTTGGCATCCCCCACCACACTTTAAGCGCATGACGCAACACAGATTGCTTTAACTTGCAATTTTCATAAAAACACTCTAATGATCAATTATCACCTACCTCCTAGATGCGTCCGGGGAATTTTGCACTACTGGTCAGCATTTAAAACCATCCAGCTGGACTGTTTAATTGCTCTGTCCGAATGCGTATCCGCTGCAGATCCTGCACGATTATCCCAGAGCCAAACAAAGCTTGGTTTTAAATGGCCTTCACAGAGACCCTTTTATTTCAATGAGCAAATCCCGTGTTTTTCACTCCTGAAAATATAGTCGAAAAATTTTTATAAATATTTTTTTTCCTTGGAGACAATCGTCTGAGGGAGATTCAAACCGTGCGCAGCGACGCTCAAGTCTGGAGTGGAGGGAAGCGGATTTCTGCAGGTGGATAGGCTTAGGTCTCCCCGGCTGTGGACACACCCATGGGGGTGGAAACCTACCTTAGCAGCCCTCCCAAAATTCTCAACAACAACAAAAAAGATCTTTATCAGATACCATACCTTCACCCCTCATGTTCTTTCTCTGCTTTCAGCTTGAATATGTTTTTTATTCTTAATGACACTATCAATAAATAATTCGTCATGAAACATGCTTTCCTTTCTTTTTATTATTCATTGTCAGGAAAGATCTGGAAACATATTTCAGATATCCAAACTGCATTACAATAAAATGCGGCTGTTGATGTTAAGCCAACATATATGCAGTTTAATTCAAAACAAAATATCTGGTCCAAAATGTTGAAAGCAGATCCTGAAATAAGACATGTGGCTTCAGTTTATTTTCATAACCATACACATTCATCTTTTAACCACAACTCAGAGTTGTTTCCATGTGAAAGTATGCATATTCTTTAAACTTTTTCCTGTTGTCAACAGAAAAGTATGAAAATAAAATCTAAAAGGCATTGGGGACATTTATATTAAGTCCCAAAGAGGTACTGTAACGCATGCTGATGTTCCAACTTCAAGTCTGTTGGATATACTGTATATTAACACAATGGATTGTTTATTTTGTGTGTTGCTCCTTGTAAAGTAGCTCAAACTAAGTCCAATTGAAAGGTAAAAAAATGTCCTTTGACCATCATACTATCTTAACTTCAACTCTGAATAAATTTTTTTAGGTCCTGCTAAAAATAAGCCTGCTCACACGTACCATGGCTTAATATAAATTGCATCAAGTTTTAGTTTTTTGATGCACAAAGCATTTTTTTTAATGGAGAGAACACATTTATCTGAGGTCCCATCATAGCACAATACTTTCCATCAGTTATCTGCTTTAATTAGGACTTTTTATGGTCTCATTATATTTATTCCAAACTCTGTGTGCATCAATAGTTCCTTCAGAATAAATGATACCCTGATTAATGCTCTCCTTCACAATTGGGTGACATGCTTTTTCACATCACATGTTGGATTAAAATTGTACTTTGTGAGATGTTTTAAGCTCAGGTTTTGTACAATTTCCTTTAAACTTCCCTGCAACTTGTACTTACAATTCTGGTATGGTTGTCTATCTTCGGGATGCAGTCTTTTTGTCTAATGTTTTCAAAAATACTTTAGAAATCTTTTTTCTGGTCAGATTTGTTTACGGTTAGGTAGAGTAAAGGAAACTGAATACTAATACAGGTCACATTATTTAGTTTTTTTGTGTTGTTCTGTCACATAAAACTGTAATACAACATATGATAGTGTGGGTTTGCAATGTGACAAACTATAGAAATGTTAAAGGACTGCACTGTTTTGCAAAGCATTGTATAAAAAGGGTATTCAACATAAATCTAAATAAAAGAATCTTAGCAGGCTTCTCTTATTTCAGAAACTCTCCTCCACATTTAAACATCAATAACTCTTTGCAGACTGAGAGAAACATATAGACATATGGTTCTACACGATTTTGGGGAGTTTGTGTCGCGTCTGAACTCCGTCTGAAGCTTGAACTCTTTGTATATGTGACTGATTACTTTTAGAGAAACCACAGGAGGCTTGTCTTACATGCCATCACAATCAGTCTGAGGTTATTTCACAGCTTTAATTAACCACTGATTGCCAGCTGTTGATTTAAATTTAGCATAGCAAAGCTGCGCCGCGCTTTGTATAAAATCAGACCTGAACAATCATTCATTTCTGATTGTTTTGGTTATATTTTGATACAGAAAACCTTTTGGTGTGTGACTGTTGTATTAATCATTTACTATTTTTTGACTGAGGTAGGGAAAAAATGAGCCCTTGTGATATTCTCACAAGAGCTGATAGAAAATAAATGGCCGGATGCAGATAAGGCAGATTTCCACCAACACCTCAGCTACCTAACAGAGAGTCGCCAGCTCTCGCCTCAGATAAGCATCAGATATTCACGGGTAAATGGAGCTTCAAATCTTTTAATCTCTGTTGATCTCCCCGGCCGATCATACTGGCTTATTTCACTTCTTATCTGGACAACATACATTGCAGCTGACACCCAGCATGCATATTAACTGTTCTATAAAGCATAAATACTGTAGCTTAGGTTTCATGCACTGTTAGGGAAAGTAGAACTACCTTACAATTCAGTGAGGTCAAGCAGACAGGAAACAAGCAGCATAAAAATAATTAAAAAAGCACATATTGCAAACTTTCTATACTTGTCTTCAAGGAAATAAAAAAAACAATACCTGATAGAGTAATCCTACACAAAACTTGTTCAATTGGAAAAAATGTTCAATTGGAAAAAATGTTCAATTGGATTTTCTCCAGACATCTGTTTTTACATTTAATTATAAAACAAGCGGGTGGGTTTCTGTATAAAGTAAAGAAATAAAGGACTTTAAATCTCTTTTGCATGTTTTCTATATGCTGAGGGAAATTGTGAAAATATTAAAGAAGCATTTGCAAAAGAACTGGCTTAGTATGGATGGAGTGATCTGCATTTCACATCTGGAGTGTTGAATTTGCCTGGATTTAAGAAGCAACTAACACAAGCTACTGCACACAAGGCAGAAGGTGTTAATGTCTGAATTTCATTTGCACTCAAACAACCAAAAGAAACTCATAAAGGTATGCATTCATACTTAAAATGTTATTTGTGCCTCATGAATATATGAAACAACTATCACCTTCAACAAACTTCACACTTCAGTGGTCTAAATGAGCTGGAATCAAACTGTGGGCGGGCCAGCTGAGTGGTATTGTCCCTGCTAACCAGCACTTTCTCCTCTTTTTGTCTGTCACCCAGTCCTTCTTCTGTCATGCAGCCAACAGCTGCATGTTGTTTCCTTTATTTCTTTTTAATCAACAATATTATTCCTATCTTCA